ATCAACCCCATTTTACAGGTGGAGAAACTGAGGCTGACAGGTGAAATCTCTTGGCTGTTTTCACCCCCTGAGAGAGTGTGGTGGTTAGGGACTTTGAGGTTGAGTCCTCCTGTCTTGAGAGCTGGAAGTCTTCCTCAGGGAGATACACTGCGTCTTTGACATGGTTGAGTAACCAACAATAATGTCATAGGACTCGTATTGGTTTTGGTCATTCCAAGCACTTTTATATATAGCAGCTCACTTGGCCCCAACCTCCATAAATGATACTCTTTCTATAGTTGTGAAATTAAAGCTGAGGTAAGGGGGATTTCTCCAAGATTCTTGATCTGTATGTCAGAGCTGGGACTAGAGCCTTTCACCCTGGGACACTTAGTGAATGCCTGCTGTGTGCAGTGTGTCTGGTAGTACTTGCCAACCGTGTGGGGGCTGGCTCTGTCAGGGCAGGGGTGGGGCACACACTCATGAAGCAAAAGAATTTTGAGATTGGGGAGACTTTAGTTCTGGGCCAGGGCCCTCCCCAGTGGCCAGAGTCCTAATGACTCTTTCCCTCATGCTGCTGGTCCCATTACTGAAACCTCAGGTGCTTTTCTGTTCCGGAAAATTTATATCTTGTGGCTTTGTGGTTAAGAGAAAAGGACGCTACCAATGAAAGTTTCCCTTGTAGGCCCCCAGGGCTTGGGCTGGAGGCCCCACTGTGGTTTGTCTGGGAAAGTAGCCCCTTGATGCTTCTGTGACTGCAACCAACTTTCGAAAAGCAAGAGCAGCTTTATTTCACTCTGATGGGGACCTGCTGAGTGCCAGGCACCCCTGACCTTGATGAATGAGAGGAGCTTTGCTCCTGCAGCAGAACCCCAGTCTGCAGGTATCATTTCTTCTTGAGGAGCTCCAGGAGTAGCAGCTGCCGGGACACTAGACCCTCTGGCCGATGGTTCACAGCACACTGTCTGTGTCCCCTTCCTCGTCTCAGGTCCAGCTGGCCAGGGGTATGGCTTGTTCTCCGGGTGCACTGAGGAATCACTTCCAAGTTCTGTGCAGTCCTACCTGTGGGCCTGCTTTGGGCTGTCTAGCGGGGATCTCTAACAACCTTTAAAAACAGAAACGGCTCTCTCCTCTTCTGGGGAACTTGCTCTGGTTTTTGAGATGTTCAGACTCCTGACTCTTCCCTTAACCATTGGCGTTTGTTTTCTGCTGCCATTTTGATAAATGTATGTGCCTGTCTGGGCTACAAAATGTATCGTGTGTTCATTTGTTCATCAAAGGTTTGAAGATAGCAAACCACGTGCCAGGTGCTATACTCGTTCCTGAGGATCTCATGGTGACTAAGAACACAGGCTGGTCCCCTGGTTGCACAGAGTTTTTAGCCTAAAGAAGAAAGCAGACAAGTAAAAAGTCAGAACTGTGATATGTGATCTGGGTAGGGGGCAGAGGGCTTGGGGAAGGCTTCCTGGAGGAAGGGGCATCTCAGCTGAGCTGCGCAGGCTGAGGATCACTGGGAAGAGCCTGTCTGACAGAGGAACAAGGGCCTCAAGACTGAAAGAGCTGGGCAGGTTGGAGGGGCTGAGCTGGAGAAAGCCTAAACGCTGGCTCAGGCTGAGGCCAGGTTGAGTCATCTTGATGTTGGCCTGCGATGGTCACAGTCATATGCAGAACAGATATGTTATGAATCACTCCCAGAGGTATGGTCCCCTTGTGCTAGTGGCTCCACTGGTTCAGATGGTCTTTATTGCTGCTGCTGTTAGTGCAAGGAGTCCAACCTCTTCGGTTAACATAGAAAAGAGTGGTTCTGTGTGTGCACAGGTCTTTGATTTATAGTCCTGTCTTTGGTCAGCTGTTTGGACTGGAGGAAAGGACTGGCTGTGAGAAGTGCAAGGATAAGGCCTCATGTGTGTCCTTCCTCAGGCATTTTTGAGCCCTTGTTGTGTGCCGGGTGCATGAACAGGCATGTGGGAACAGTAGTGAGTAAGGTGGACACTGTCTCTGCCCTGATGTATTAGTAGGGGACCTAACCAAGTCTTCTGGAGGTGTTAAAAGAAAAACTTTAGACAAATTAAAGAGTTTAATTGAGAAGAAAAAAACGATTTGGGAATTGGGCAGCCCCCAGATCAGAACAGATTCAGAGGGACTCCCCGTTGCCACGTAGTTAAGATTTATGGACAGAAAAGGGAAGTGACGTACAGAAAACGGAAATGAGGTACAGAGCTGCTTATTGCCTGTATTAGCTGAGACTTGGCTACTTGTTACAGGAGTAGGTGACAGTCTGTTTACACATCAAGTTAGGTTACAGTTCACTGTGTCTGAAGATACCTTTAGGCCAAACTTATTAAACAGAGGTTTCCATACTATAGTTCAGTCTGAGCCCGGTATCATTCCCATGAACTGACACTGAGAAAGTTAATTAATTTCCTTGAGGTTACACAACTTAGTACATGGCATATTCGAACCCAGATCTGTTCTCCTCGGAAGGCTGTGTCCCGTCCATGCCCTGGGAGCTCATTTGTATTGGCAGGACTGCTCAGAAGCTATTAACTTTCGTACAAGGCCCACTGTGGCGGGGCTGTGACAGAGACACAGCTATACGTTCACTCGGGAGGGAGATGGGGAAGGTACCTCGGCCTGGCTAGGAAACTACAGGAAGTATTTGAGGAATAGCTGGTGGCAGGTGTGTGCTTAGAGGGCAGGGCAGGGGCAGGGGCAAGGTGGAGTGGAGATGGGGGTGTGTGTGAAGATTGGGCCCCTTATTTTGGAATTTGCCTCTGGTCATACTGGGAGGGATGGGTCAGAGCGAGGTGAGCTGGGGCAGGGGATGTGAGTGCTACTACTTGTAGGATAAAAGTGACTCTTGTGTCTTCAAATTTGTGAGCTTCATGCCCTAAATGTTCCTGGGGGGTTAGGTTCCATAGCAGGAGAGCAAATAGACTCCTTATGTGGCCACCCGGCGTAGTGAGCCTCAGCAGAGGGTGTTTGAGTACCAGCGTCTGCTTGGAGTAGTGAGCCTCAGCGGGGTGTTTGATTACTGATACCTGCTCTGGGTACCTCAGGGGCCTGTGGTGCAGGAATCCTGTGGGTTTGCGACTGTGTCATCGGCGTCACCAAACATCACAACTGTACTTAGTGGGATTACTTTCATTCTGACTCAGTGTTCCCTCTCTGGCAACTGTCCCCACTTGCCACTGAGCCCCTGGCACCCTGAAGGTAGCAGGATTTGAGTTTGGGGTCACATGAGAGAGCCAATGACCCTGAGTGGGCCAGATCTGGGCCTGTGAGATTGTTGGTGAGCCTGGGACCAAACTGAGGGGAATTTGCGGAGGGCTGAGGGTGAAGCAGTGGTTTTGTTGTCGTTGTGGGTCTCATTTCACACTCACGTCCCTGTGGCCACAGGGGTTCTTTACCTGGGATCTGTGGGTAGAATTCAGAGGGTCTTGAACTTGGGTGGGAAAAAAACTGCACCTTTGTTTTCATCGGCCTTAACTGAAGTTTACATGTTGTTCAATTTGGTTGTAGACAGCAAGACACAGTCATCTTAACAAACACTTTGTCACTCGGTCACCAGTAGGAACTGCCGCTGTTTTCATGTCACATTACAGTTGTGGAGCTATCAGAAAAAGCAGTTTATACCTGTCACAACTTCAAAGTTATGATAGTCATTAGATCCACTGCTAGATATTATAAAATACTTTTATAAAGAAGCTTTTATTACTCTATTACAATTTTAAGTAATATTTTGATAAATGTATTTAAATATAATTGATTTTCTATGTAATCCTAAGTGTCTCCTTTTATGCATTTAAAAGCATTGTTTTTAGAGAGGGATCATGGGCCTCCCCAGACCACCAAAGGGGTCCATGGCCCCCAAATGGTTACAAGTTCCTGTTCTAATTGGAGGCCACTAGAGTCTCATCAACATTTCAGAGGCTCTCACTGGGTCCCTGGGTCACTTGATCCCAGCCAAGCCAGGCGACTGCGTGGTTCTCTTCGGGTGGTGTGTCCATTTCCATCTGGGCGAGTTTGCTCAGCTGGCCTCCAGCTGGAGTGCATCTCCCTTCTGCTGTGCCCTCCTTGTACATCTTGCCCCCTTGACCCCCATGTTCGTCAGTCTAGTTCAGGGTACTGTGTTGGAACCCAGTGTTTTTCAAAGAGAGTGCCAGGCTGACCTAAGTCAGGCTGTCCTTGTTTAAACTTATTTGAAGTTTTAGCCTTTTGAGAGTCTTTTGAAAGCTTTGAATCTCTTCCCCTGAAAATACACAGACTCAGATGTGTGAGATTTGCACACATTTCAGGGTGTGGATCCCTGCAAGCCTATTCGGGGACCCAAGTTAAGGGCCCTTACTGATAATACTGCAGCCCAGCAGCCAGCCCTTCCTGAGCTTACTGTGTGCTGGGCCTGTGCTCGGTGCTTCATTTCTTTTCAGCTCCCCCCAGAGGGAGCTTCTGGTATTATCCCTATTTTCTGGAGGAGGAAACTGAGGCTCTTCTGGGGAATTAGGTAACTTGTCAAAGGTCCCAGAACTAGGGTGTGACTGAGCCCCTGGATCCCAACCCAAGCAGCCTGATGCTAGGCCGGAATCATCCTAGGGGGAAGGTTGCCCATCCTCCCCAAACCCCGAGTCGTCCATATTGCCAGTTACCGGCTCCCCCACCCTGCCCCAGGCAGGAAGGCCTCCTTGTGTGTAACCCAGTTCTCTGTTCGGACCAGTCTTGCTCATTACTCTCTGAGGATCCTGAAGGTGAGGCGGTGTCAGCCAGCCTTGGGCGCAGTAGGGTTTGTGGGTGGCTACCAGGCTCCTTGTCCGCTCTCCAGACCCTTATCCTCTCCTCCCCCTTCTCCCCCTGTTTCCTGCTTTACTGCTGTTTGAATGGCAGCAAAGAGGGAATCCCACGGCTCCTCTCCTATCACACTGCTTGTGTTTGCCTGAGCTCCCCTGTAGTGTGCTCGGGGCTGCCATGTGCTTGTGCCACAAATGAATGCGGCCTTTTCTTTCCTGGACTTCCCACAGGCGAAGCTGGTCCGGTACATTTGTAAGCAGCGGCAGTGCAAGCTGAGCATGTCTCCTAGCGAGAGGACCCCAGAGCTCAACAGCTACCCCCGCTTCAGTGACTGGCTGTACATCTTCAACGTGAGGCCAGAGGTGGTGCAGGTATGTGGGCCGGGACTCAGGTCAGGAGGTGAGGCATGAAGGGTCAAGCAAGGGACCCAACACAAACCTGTGGGCTGGCTTCATTGTGGCTAAGGCTAAGGAGTGGTGCTCTCTACTCTTGGGAAGGGGATATGGGGGGACAGCAGCAGCCAAGAGGGATCTAGGGAAATGTGGCTCCAGTAAATGTCCTGGGTGCCTTTGCCTTATAAACCAGGGCAGGCTGACCACTCTGGTCTATAAGTTGTTCATCGTGATGACAACAGCCAGCATTTCTGGAAGCATTGATTGTGTGGCAGACACCATGTTAAACACTTTGTACAGATAATCTCACTTCTCAGAGTCCTACAAGGGAGTTACTGTCATTGTTGCCCTTTTATACTTGAGGAAATCAAAGCACAGAATAGTTAAGTGACTTGTTTCAAATCACACAGCTAGTAAGTGATAGCCTTGGGATTCAGAAACGAGAGTCTGAGTCTTCTAACAGCTATAATGTACCATTTTCCTTCCTTTGTTTCCTCTTCCCATTCATCCAACCTACCCACCTACCAGCCAACCAACCAATGAACATGGACAGTGTACCATGCCAGGTGTCAGGGGTCCAGGACAGCCCTCATGGAGTGTGAATAAGTCAATATTTGTCAGGCATGGTTAACCCAGTTGGGCCTTGTAAATCTTCCACTTCTATTCTAAAATTAAAATGCTCAGCTCTTGCTATTACGTAAAAAGTAACATGAATTCATTATATATAGACACTTTGGAAAACAGAAGGAAAAAAAATCACATATTCACACTACTCAGGGAAAATCTGTGATCATTATGATTTTGATTTTGATACTTCTTTCTAGTTTCTTTCCCTCACTAATACAGAAGTCTTTTAAACACTTTTTACGTGTTAGACCTGTGCTGTCCAGTGTGGTAGTCAGTAGCCTCATGTGGCTATTAAGAACTCGGGAGATGGCTAGTCCTAACTGAGGTGTGCTATAATTTCAGAGACATGTTGAATTCTCAAGAGTTGGTACAGACAAAAGAATGTAAAATAATCCCATTAATAACTTTTCATATCTAGTATGTGTTGAAATGACACTCTGGCTATATTGAGCTAAATGTTATAAAAATTAATTTCCTATTTATAGGTTTTTGGTTTTTTACTGTTTAATTTTTTTTTTTTAATTTTAAAGTCAATTGATAAGGAACAAGTTTAACACAAAGATTAACATCCTTAATGAAAAAAGAATCCTTAAAAATGAATTAGAAAAATCTAAGAAGAAATTTGGTGAAGGACATGAACAGATTAGGCACGCGTATTTCTATAAGTACGTTCTAAGATGTTCTTGGGGGGGGTTGGGGGGTAAGGCCTTTTGCCCCCATCTTGGTACCCCAGGGGCTTCTGGCTCTGTTGTGGCCAGCCTGGTGGCAGTGGGTGGGGTTTTTACTGTTTAATATATGGCTATTTGAAAATTAAAATGTAAGTATGTGGCTTTCATTATATTTCTATTCGGCAACACTGGTTTAAACCACCCTGAATAAATAATTTGATGTTTTGCTCGTATTATTTGGTACGTCAACCAGCACGTTTTCCCATTTTTATGTTGTATGTATTACTTATTTGCTAATGTTTTATTAAGTGCATGTGATCTAGTTGCCAGTCAGAGGTTAATTCCAGCTATTGTCTATTAGACATAACACAGTAATTAAAATTATTTATGAAGCTATTTGTATACTTAGGAATTTTCCTTAGAAGAGATTCCTGGATGGGAGGTGACACCAACATAAAAGATTCCAGTTGCAGGGTGGGGTTGAGTGGGGGACCCACAGGGGAGCTCAATGCTGAGAGCTCTTGGCACCTTAGACACCCCTGAGGGTGTCCCAGGCCCCAACAACACTCTTATTTGTGTGGTACAGCAGATCTTAAGAAGCTGGCAGAAAGGGGTAGGCAAATGCAAAGGTCGAAGGAAACTGTTTTGTGAGACAGAAGTCCCTTGAGCATTAACAAATAATTGTGCTCACACACACTAATATGTCTGCAGTTTCCATAAGATTATAATGGAGTTGAAAAATTCCTATTGCCTAGTGGCACTGCAGCTTTGTATCACAAAACGTACCTTTTCTGTTTAGATACGTTTAGGTACACAAACACCGTTGTGTTACAGTTGCCTACAGTATTCAGTACAGTAACATGCTGTACAGGTTTGTAGCCTAGGAGAAATAGGCTACACCATATAGCCTAGGTGTGTAGTAGGCTGCAGCATCTACATTTGTGTAAGTACTCTCTATGATGTTTGCACAACTACAAAATCACCTGAGGATGCATTTTTTAGAACATACTCAGTCCTTAGGCAACACATGTTATAAGCAACTACAATCTCCATCCATCTCCTCACCCGCCTGCCTGCCTAACAGTTTTCTGCTATACAGGGAGGAGATCTGGGCATGTAGTGATGAGTCCATGGTTACAGATTTTAAATCATGGACTTGGAGACTATGGAATTGAATGGGCCTTCTGGTCCCCAGCCCAATCTCACCCTTTCTCTTTTCCCTCCCTAAGGACAGAAAGCAGCTTCTCCTCACACTCACGTCTTTAGCTTGCAGTTGAAGACACTGGAGCCCTATGAGAGTCACAGAGCTAGTAACAGGGACAAACTTGGCGTTTAGACCAAGGCAGGCTGGGCTCCAAACTGCCTTTTCACTTCCTATCTTGATCCTGAAACGTCTCTGGCAGATGACTTAGCTCCTTGAGGTATTTCGCTCTGGTCTCTAAAGATCTGAAATGTGCAGGGACTCAACTCTATGTCCATCTTTGAGATGGGGGCCAGGAATTCTTCCGGGATGCCCAGGCCTTTATGGGGTGGTGTGTCCTCTGCTGTGTCTCCAGACCAGCCTAGTGTCTTGGAAGCTGAAAGCTAAGTGGCATTTTCTTTCTTGCTTGCCTGCCCACCCCAGTGCCTTAGCCTACCTGATGCTTAGGAAGCTAGAGAGCCCCCAAAGGGCCAGCTGGACAGCTTAGATCACACCAGGGGAAGGAGTGCTGAGGTCCTGGCAATACTTTCATGGGACAGCCCTACTCCAGAATTTCGCCCTGCCAGGGGGTGGGGCTTCCCTTTGTCAAGCTTCAGAAAAGACCTAGAACCCATCAGGATCTTCAGAAACCTGGCCTGGGAGGTAGGGGTAGGCCCCAGGGGGCTCTGTGGTGTAGCTGGTCTGGCTTGGAGGATCCCTCTAGAGCTGACTCCTCTCCACCTGACCCTGAAGTTTGACCTAGAGAGAGTCTCACCCAAGGTGATTCAGACTACAGAGCTCAGCACCCTGAAGAAATAGTTGCCAGTGTGTGTGAGAGGGAAGTTTGGACCAAAAAGCACCACCAGGATCAGGAGGGAATCCTGGGAGGAAAGAGGAAGCCAGGAAGTTACAGTGTTTGCCCCTCTTTCTAGGCAGTAATTGCACATGCCACATTAACCTGGCTGGAATTTGTAGTGTGGCCTCTGGAGGCCATCCACTGTGGTGGGCACTGCAGGTGGTCCACATGCGCCCACTGCCTCCTAGAGCTACTGGCTCACCTGCATCCCTGTGGCCATGGTTGACCAGGTATGGGGGCAGGTGGGACCTGGGATTCTCTGGGTATCTAGGGTGGGCCTTTTCCACTATGAGATCGTGGGTGACTTACTTCATCTCCCTGGGCCTCAGTGTACTCACATGAGAAATCACAAATTAGATTGTCTTCTAAATTCTTTCCTCAGATGGTTTCTTCTTCTGGAGAGTAAAGGGGCCTAGACCAGGAGTAGTTATGTCAGGCCATGTGGTTTGTAGAGGCCACACAGATCGTGCCTCCTCCAAAACTCTCCCCACAGTGGCTTTGCCTTGTCTCGTAGGTGTGTCTGACCACCCACAGATAGTAGTACTGCCTCCCTCCAGGAGGCGGTTCGTAACTCGGTGCTTTACCCACTAGGCTTCATGCAATGTTTGTGTCCAACAGTTGGAGCCAGGAGCTCTGCCATGCAGATTAAGTGATGGTATTTTTATCTCTTGTTCCCTGTGCCCCCGAGTCAGGCTTTTCTCCCACACATTTTGAGCAAATCTTTCTTGTGTGTTTTCCTTGTGTGTTTTTAGCCCACACAACAAATGATCAGGAAGCAAGAAGATACCCATGTGTACTAAGAAGTGCATTTTTTTTTTCTTTTTCCTTTTTGTCTTTTTTCGTGTCTGGCAACTGACCACAACCCTCAGTGTCGCGCCCGTACCGGACCGGGACCAGCAATGGGATCGCAACCCTCGGTGCTGCGCCCGCCCCTCGCTCAGCCAGTGAGCGGGAACCGGTCTGTATGTGGGACCCGAACCCTTGGCGGGAGCGCCGCCGCGCTCCCAAGCGGCGCACTGTAGCGGTGCGCCACTGGGCCGGCCCAGAAGTGCATTTTTAAAACTGGTTTCCATACCCATCAAGTGCAGAAGTGTTACCCAGTAAGCAAGGGCCCTGCCTTCTCCACGTCTCAGAGGTAACCTCCTTGTTAACACACTGGTAGGTGCCCCTGCCAGTCGCCTTCATGTCTTTTTCAGTCATTTAAATTGACAAACAAATTTGTTCGCTTCCTTTTTTTTTTTTTTTTTTGTTTGCTAAAATGCGATCGTGCAATATATATCATTCTGCAGGTTTTTTTAGTCTTAATATTGTCTCTGTTAGTCCATAAAAATACATGGCATTCTTCTCTAACAGTAAAATGGTAAGAGATACGATTTCTTAAAGATATCTTGTGAATGACTGTGTTTGTGGGGTGCCCACCTGCTCACGTAGATGCACACAATGACGTAAGCATCTTGGTAGTACAGGTGGCTCAGCACCTGAACTAGACTGAGAGCCCGAGGCCAGAGGAGGCAGCACGGCACCTGGTGTGGGAGGCCCTTGGTGGATATTTGCTGGGTGAGGGAATGAACGGAAGTCACTATGGGTCTCTTTCAATATCTGTTTGTCTGTCAGGTTTTTTTTGAGGGGGGAAGCATTTCAAATCTAT